ATGTTTGAAATTCAAAATCATGTGCTAGTCACCACAATCAAGACACATTTAACACATGAAATATACCTGGTTTACTAATCTTAGTATATTGCTGAATCAACATAGATTTAAACAATATCTAATATAAACAATAAACCGTTACTTTGATTAGAATTTACAATTAAATCAATGACTTAAAGGTTAAATAATCTAACTTCTAATCATTAAAAGCCATGGGTTTGAATGACTCTTCTCAGCATACTATGGTTTAAGTAGTCAGTTAGTAAGTGCTACTACCCTGTTGTATGTGTGAACACATGCACAAATTGTAGCTTATAATAAAGTACATAGAACATATTCTTGGTAAAGTGAATTAATAATGATAATTATTTTATACTAGATAGAATTCAATCTTCATCAAAATACTTCTTTTTTCCGTCATTTTTTCAGATTTATTAACAAACATATACCAACATGATATTGTCGGGTTTGTATAGTTGAATGACTGATCATAACAACAATTTGATTATGGATTGATTGATTATGAATATGATGATTATCTCATTTTATCTCAATATATTTTCCACTTGTTAAAATGTATTAAATAACGCAGATAATTAGTGACAGTGTGTGTGTGTTCTAACATGTAAATTATAAGAGCAATTAATGTGCATAAAAATAGTTTTATCTAATTAAAAAGTACATAATATTTATACTTAACAAATCAATAATGAAGACTTGTGTTTACTCTGTAAATATAAGTACACATAGTTAGTTTGTTTTCTTTTTTTACACAATGAAAAGCCGAGGTCATTGGAGCATGCAGATAAAATAATATGTACTTCAATTTATTATTAATACGTCCAAGAATAACTAAGAAAATTATTCTCTAAAATACAAAAAGAATTACTCAAACAAAAAAATAACCTCTAAATAATAGGTATATTTCTTGTGAATATCCCAATGAGTAGAGAATTGTATTTTTGACGTTTCGTGATCTAATGTAAGCCACTTCTTCACAGTAAATAAATAACCGAAATGCAATTAACACAAGTTTAAACAGTAAATGGGGTTATTTCCTTTGTATTATTTAAAGTTGTGTCAATCTTTTTTCGGTTGGTTATTTACTCTGAAGAAGTGGATTAATATTAAGTCACGAAACGTCGGAAATACAGTTTTCTACTCATTTGGAAATAACAAAAAACATATTTATTATTAACTTTCTACTCAATGCTGTATTTACTTGAAACTATCAAGTCCAACCTTGACATTGACACCTAAACAACAACCTGTGGTTTTGAACCCTTTAGAAATGTCGCCTTATTTGAATTAAGTGCTGCTGATAAGTGAAGTCCAGGGAACGTAATAACCCAATTTAACCATAATTGTGCATTGATAACTTCTATTGACCTCATCAGCAGAAGTGGTTGTCATGTCTGACAGCACCTCAAGCCAGAGTTGTATCACATCAGGAATCCCAACCAGGAATTTGTGAATGGATCAGCAGATGCCAGTCTTATATAGCTTTTTTTCATAGCCGGGCTCCATATCCGCTTTTCTAATAGGTCTCAGCCTCAGCAAATAAAGCACAATATGGAAATAGCTGAGACAGCATTTGTAGCACATGTCCGAGCTATCGGAACCTTTTCCTCTACATGGTGACTCCGACTGAATTATGTAACCGGGTACCCAGTTAGACTTCGTCGAACCTCCACATCACCGACATGGTATTGCTACTGAGTGTCAGCAATCCATCAGACAACTATGACCGCATACAGAGTTATCTGATACCAAATCGGAGGGGTCAGGCTTAAAAACCATACATCGAGACTGATCCCATCGATGTTTTGAACCCGACATTTTACAACCAGACTAACATCATGAAGGCGCCGGTGCCATAGGTTGACACAAACTGATCTGATATTCAATATACACACAGGTCGACCTTATCAGCCATGTCACCGTCGGCACTAATTCACCCACCATCCGGAGACACGAGTGTTCCGACTAATAACAGATCACAAATAGTGCACAGTATCATGTTCCCAGGCATTTGGTTGCTCGGACTGCAATGCTGTCGAATCCAAGCAGTCATTCAGAAACAACAATAAATGGACATGGCTGTCGAAAATCTTCAATTTGGCGACTGCGTTGACTCCACAACTGTGCTGTAAATTAATACAACCTGAACATTTGCCGTCCCGAAGTCGGTTTCGTGTCATATCACCATTCCCAAAACGAACACCTGTGTAGATACAGGCTTTTGTCTTCTTCGTAATAACGATAACAACCACTTTGATAGTACAAAGATCGTATCATGTTCACGGCCTTAAATCTGACAATATTTGGGTAGCCTGCCCTTCAACGCACAGTTAGACGGTGGAGTTCTTAGTGATATTCGAAATTCATTTCTCTTGGTGTAATCAACGTCTTTTGATATGCGGTTAAATAAAAGTAGCAAAATAAAGTTTCAGACCAATTGTTAGGACGGATATCCGCATTTAACATTACAAACGGAAGTATATCCCTCAGATACTTTGCACGAACCCTTAGATTGTTAGGCCAGTTTAAAGACCGATTCAGAAAAAGAGCTTACACTAAGATCAGATGGGTAGATTGACCAGACTACTTTGTCATACCACAGGGCTGATATTTCTTACTAATAATAAGCGCTTACAAGAAAACAACGCAAACATGCACCGGCTTCTTTAACAGCCCAACCGCTATTGTTTACTTCTGAAATAGAATTGCTTGGTAAGTGCGATGAGAAGTATTTCAGTTAACTCGTAAGTAAGTCCAGTGAAGTACAAGTCATTCAATTATAGATAACACATTTATTCTGAGAAGTAGTTTCAATGAAAAATATGAGCAAGGTAAACAAAATTCTGCAATCAGGTGCACACAAAACTGATTTCATCAAATGGCAATCAGTGAACATTTGAGATTGCCATCGTCATATAGCGAGAATTTGTTCAAAGCTCAAAAGTTCCATTGATCACTTCTTTTCCAAAAGCTCCATGATATCTCCTACAATATCCTACAAAAAATTAAAAGTTTGGTCAGAAATCCTAAAACTAAAAGGTGATTACTTGTCGATAAAACTGTGACAGTTTCATGAATTTGTCACTATTAGACATTAAGCATCATACTTGGGACTAACCACCTAATACGGTAGACGGTCAAAATCAAGGAATTGTTTGGTGTAGACATACACTAGTTCAATTTCCCACACTCCATATCAGTATTACAAACTACAGAATCAACCCTATGTGAAGTACAGTACATTAAAAATGTATTACAAATAGAAAGGGTGAGATCGGAGAAAGATCATTTACGGATGCCAGACAAGAAGTGGGTTACTCCACGTAATCACAGCTTGCGATTATCTCGCCAATATCAATCAATAAGTCTGACCCAACAGACACAGGGCAGGTAAATGAAGAGAAAAAAATCACTTGTAATAAGTTAGATCTGCAATATATATGAATTACGTAATGTGAGGAAATAAGTTATTCCTAGCCCTTGAACTCTGCAGTACTCGAGGATTCCACTATTGCTTGACACAAACTGTGCTTGGATTGATACATGGTTCAATAACCGCTACACATCCAAGTGCTAAACGCGCTAACCGGTGTCACAACCAGGAAATGGAAAGATGAAGACTACCGTATAGAAGTTTTGTACGTTCCCACGCAAACCGTAATTATCATACCTAGTGCATGTAGTACATTGATGTACAACTGATTGCAGGCTTGCGGACTATTACAAGGCGATATACAAGTTGTATAGACGTAGCAGTTAACTAACTGCAGTCCAAACAGTCACGAGTGTGGACGTCTATTAACCCAATAGTGTTATTGACGAAAATGACTGTCACATTGGAGACCAAGACATACAAAACCGAAATGACAATATTGTGAAGTAAGGTTACTCAGTAAAGACACGAAGGATCGCTCCTGAAGTTCTACTTTCTTCGGTACAGATAACTATTTCATAACTTCATAACTGAGCCGGGAAAACGTTTGGTCTATGATGTCATATAGTGCAATGTAAGAGAGTTAACTTAAACTCGAATTTCATTTATGAAGTTTGTCATGACCAATAACTGAAGTAACTAAGCAGCGATGGACTATATTTCACGTACCATAAAACTAACAAGTAACTAAAGTTGGTGTTTCATTTTTTCATCCATGACAATTAACTGGTAACTTTATCAACATGTACCAGCTGTGAGGTAATATGCTGTGTCCAGATTGGTTTCTTTGACGTATAACCACTATTGAGGTGAGACTAGTTTGGAAACGAATTGATGAAATCATCTAAACAACTAATGTTCAGCGTGGTCACTAACCTGCTAAATATTCAAATGAGTAAAATTTCTTAATGGCAGCTTCAAATCTACAGGAACTACAGGTTACGGGAGGAAGTTAACACACCCATTAAGTGACTGAAAGTTACATACTTAAGAAACAACACAACAAAATACTTAGACAATTAGGAAAAAATCGAAGTGTGTAGGGTGGATTGCTGATTTTTTCAATTTATCTTAAGTTACGTCTATCTATTTAGACAGTCGGAACTGATAACAAAATAGAAATATTGAAAGTTCAGCAACTCACATTTGGGGCAGTTGTAGGAGAATATCTTTTAACCGGTTGGCCTTGACGATCTATAAGGAATTTAGAGAAGTTCCATTTAATATCACTACGACATTAGTAAAGAAAAAAACAATTACTTTGTTAGGGTACCATGTAGTCTACTTTTAAGAAATTTATAGAGATCATCAGCGTCAGACCCATTGACTTTTATCTTGGAAAACATATCGAATTGGACGCCATACTTTTCAGTCACAAACTTCTTAATCTCCGCTTCCGCCCAGGGTTCCTGCAAATAGCATTGGTTTAAGTGTTACATACCTGTCCGCCGAATTGGTTGCAAGGGAACGCTAATATACGGAGGCCTTTGCCAACCAGTCGAGTGTGCATCTCCTGGAGTTGGCGATAGTTCTTGTCCGTTGCGCCTCACTTACAAGCGACGTTAACAATTAGACAAACGTGACCACTAAACAACGAATAATTATCATCCTATATAAAAGAAGAATATCGAACAAACCGGTATTTCTCTAAGGAGACATCCACACCATTGATATCTTTAACAGTAAATTCATATATTGAATTCCAAGACTTGTGGGATGAAGACTTAAGGAAGAAATTAGAGAGACCACAACGTACCATCACAGTACATCCAATCGTAAACAATGATTTGGGAGATTTGAATAAGGCGCGACAAAACATCGCTGAGCCGGTCTTCAAGTGTTCCAAATAATTGTGAACGGAATTGAAGCAGATTTTGACCAACGAGCCTCCTTGACCTGTAGCACTGGATCACGTTTACCACCAGGTAAGCACGTAGATGTGTGACAAAGTCATAAGAGAATCCTTAGTATATTACAATGGTTAGTAAGACTTACGAATGTGAACAACCAAACTGGTTGTTCCCCGTTGAGGAAGGAGTGGGGTGCGATGAGTGTAAAAAGTGGTACCATAGGATGTGTATACATCTAGGTTCTACGGCATACAAAAGAAGTGAGAAAAAAAAGCTGTAGGCAAAAACTACTGGTTAGCAAGTCATTGGAGACGGTATCAGAAACGAAAACTCCACTGCGTGTCAAGACAGATCTCTCCGAGAGGTCAGTCATTTTTCATAAGTTAAGAGAATCTTTGGATAAGGAATCAAGGGCTAGATTTGAACACGACCTCATTCATATTTAGTCCTTAATAAGCAAACTATTCCCAGATACAGTTTTAGAAGTTAGTATTTGTAAGTTTTATAGAATAGGACAAAAGAAGCATTCTGAAAGTCCTCAGAAGAACTGACTCTTGAAGGTTAAGTTTATCGCGCTTGAAGATAGGAACTTGACTCCAGGTAACTCACGTAAACTGATTGGATCCGGAATATGCATCCGTGAGGGTCTCAGCCTAGCTGATCGTATTAAGAGACGAGCTGCAAAAGTGGAAATAAATGAGCGTCGCCGAAACGGTGAAAGAAACCTCGTTCTTAAGGGTTTTCAAATTGTGAAAGTTCGGAGCAAAACGATCCCTAAACCACTCTGGGTGGTAAGGGAAAGATCTCCACAGACTTAAAGGTATGCTACCGCAGTCCAGAATGTGTAGCAGATGATTTTCTCCTAAGTAAACTTAAGTCCTGGTGGAACAACGGTAAAAGCCTTGTAGTAGACGACTTTAATGCACCATATATAAACTGGGTTAACTTAGAAGTACGGTCATCGATATCGTCGTTTGGCTGCAAACTATTAGAAACCTCGGTTGGACAGTTGCGCCGGCCCGTCCTAACATATGGAAGGCAGGTATGTAAGCAATTAACTTCTCAGCATCGGCTGAGAACTGGGAACTTGACTCAAAGGCATCCATACAAGAGGCATGGACTCTATTCAGGCAGTTATACATTCGGGTAACTCAACCATACATACCCTGGACTGTCCCAAAGAAAAAGAAGCACGGACATCCCTGGATAGGCCGCTTACTAAGACAAAAGAAGAAATGCTGGGATGTTGCCATCCGCCTTGGCACAGCAGGTACGATGGAACGCTACAGATCGATAAGAAACGAGTGTATAACAAAAATTCGGGAAGCTCAAAGAAAATATGAAACGCAGTTGGCACAATCTGCACTCAAGCAGCCCAAGAGAATATTCTCGTACATAAACTACAGAACAAGGATGCATCATTGGATTCCCAACCTAATTAAAGTAGAAAGTGAATCTGAAATGATAGAGGAATATCAGGAAAAAGCAGAAGCTATGGCTGACTATTTTGGGGCAGTTTTCACTCAGGAACCTTCTCTAGACAAAGAACCAGACCAAAATAAAGAGTCAACAAACCACCTACTCACCATGGACTTCGACCAATACGATGTGCTTAAGGCTCTCAACACCATAAACATGGAAAAGTCAACAGGACCAGATGAACTACATCCCAAAATCTTGAGACAAATTGCCCAATATATCGCGGCCCCACTGACTGTGATATTCAATATGTCACTTGACCAAGGTGTGTTACCTATGGACTGGAAGGATTAAACCGTCACTCCCACACAGGACCAAGACAAGTTCATTCGAACTACAGACCTGTAAACCTCACCAGTATTGTAGTTAAAATATTGGAAAGAATAGTCAAACGGACCATAATGGCATCTATGGAAACCAATAACTTGCTAAAAATAGAACAACATGGTTTTAGAAAGGGCCTATCTTGTACAACGAACCTCCTTATAGCAAGGGAGTTCTGGATTAATGCGCTAGACAACGGAAACTCAGTGGATGTTGACTACATAGACTTCAGTAAGACTTTTGACAAGATGCCAACTAATAGACTGCTATTTAAGTTGGCAAACCTTGTTATTGCCGGACCTCTTTTAAAATGGATCAAGGATTTCCTAGTAGGTCGTAGGCAAAAAGTAAGAATAAATTCCAAGTGCTCCATCTGGAGTACCCCAAGGTTCCGTCTTAGGTCCTTTACTTTTTATAATGTGCGTTAATGATCTTACAGGTGTAGTAGTCTCCAATGTTACTATACGCTGACGACGTAAAAATTTTGCGAGTAACAACTGGAGACAAAGACGCATTTACTCTTCAGGCAGACTTAAATAATATGATAAACCGGTCTAAAGAGTGGCTGATGCCTATCAACGCGGAAAAGTGTGTTTACATGCAATTGGGGGATTCAAAGGTTAATACGTACAACATAAGTGATGTGTCATTACCCGTAGTCCGGTCTCATAAGGCTCTAGGGGTGACAGTGAGTAATGATCTTAAGACGACGGCCGATTGCCGGGAGGTCGCAGCCAAGGTGTTTCGAACCCTCTGGGCTTTTAAAAAGGACATTCACTAAGTAAGATACTACTATGTTCACCACAGTATACACATCCTTAGTGAGAACCAAGCTTGAGAACTGCGTTCAGGCTGCAAGCCCATGTTTAAAAGGTAATTCGGATATCCTAGAAAAAGTACAGAGGGCAGCTACCCGTGCAGTTCCAGAACTCCGGGGTTTACCACACAAAGAGCGGCTTGTAAAGCTGGACCTTTTTGCTCTTTCCTATCACAGATTAAGGGGAGATCTAATTTTAATGTACAGAATACTGAAAAATGATTTTGGACCTAAATTATTCTCTCTTTTTCTTCTCACTTGATCGGGACATCTCAAAGGACATAGCAGGCGAGTAGAAAAGCCAAGAACGAACACAATACCTGTGGCATACAGGTTCTTACACCGAGTCATCAATACTTGGAACGTGCTGCCCGAAGCAGTGGTGTCCGCACCTTCAATAGACTCTTTCAAGAGAAGACTGGGCACTCACAGAAGCATACTAGAAAACGAATAACATAGGCCGTAGGCCCTCTGTCCTTGCTACACAAATCTGAATCTGAATTAATACGAAATGCTTTCATGATTCCTGATTATACATCAGGATCACGTTTATCACCAGGCAAGGATGTGTATGTGCGACAGTCATAAGAGAAGTCTTAACAAATTAATACGAAACGCTTTCCCGATTCCTGATGTATAGACCAAGTGTCTTCGAAAAGAGCTTACAGGAAATTTCTTGAACTACGCCACCCGTCATTGAATCCCAGCATTTGTCTACTCGTAATTAATAGAAGGTGTGACTATAGTTCATTATGTTATGTTGGGATTCTAATTCCTGGCTATTCCTCCTGGATTTATAATTGAGCGTAAATAGGTATTTCAGTGGATATTTAGGAGTGCTTAGGTTGCCGTATGCATATATGACTCATACATATTGATATTTCATTATCCTTTTCACTCAGTTGAGACTTTCATCGCATCACTCCAAACTATGACTGCACAAACATTTATTCTAGCGTCATATCTTACTACAATAATAAGTTTTTTTTTCTTAATTATTTTTTGTTACTGTTATGACCTTGGATCGCTTTTACCCCGTGATACTTGTTATGACTTGGCCTTGGTCTGTCTAATCTAAATTATGACCTTGACGCGCTAGGCTGAGTGGCTTAACTTTGAGTCTAATACGCGTGAGTTCGATTGGGGTAGAGAGAACTATTCTAAATCCTGATTGGTTGGCAAGCACGCGAGTGAAAGAAGACAAGACAGTTGGAACACTAAACTCTGGATTCTCTGAATTCAGATTACTACAAAAGTGTACATGAATAAATAAGTGCATATCTTGACCACGACGTAGGATAATTTGAAAAAATACAGTTATGCCCGAAACAGGGAATTAGGGTAGAAAATATAGTGCAAAATATAATGTTTAAATTACAATATTTTTGGAACAAAAAAGGGTATGCTAATGAATGATACATAGAACGAAAGCTCGTGTTATGTAGAATAAGATAGGGACAAAAATAAATATGTGTTTTACAGGTTTTGAATGAAATGCAATAACGTCCCAAGAAAATAGCTTTCGTAATTGTCTGAGCTTCTTAATTCCCCGTTCGTAACACCTTCCCCCTTAAAAAAAAGAAAAAAAATATGGTTAGTTACTATATACAGGTAAGTGCTGAGATATCATCATTGATATCTCCCTTCGGAAACGTATGTTCTCCTCTTTGGGTCTACCTGTAGAATATCTGGTCTTCTGCGTTTCCGTGATGCTTTCCTAATAGGACCTTGTTCAGGTTGCGTGGTCTTCTGAGTCGCTGAGCATTTTATGTCAAAACTGTCCAGAATGATTCTCCACATTGAGTCTAATTTCTCGGTTTTCTGTGAAGTGCCAGCATTTCCCAGTATGTGGTTGACATGGCGTGTCCACTTCTGTCCTTCAACTTCCACCACATACATTACGTTCCCTTGTCTCTTAAGTATGCGTCCACTGGTCCATTGTGGAGGTGAATATCGGAAATCGCGGACGTATACTTTTTGATTTCTTTGGAAAATTCTGCGTTTTGCCCCATGATGGCGATTAAATTGGTTTTCCATCTTTCTGTTTCTTTTTCTGATGTCTATTTGCTGTGGTTTCATGGCATCGAGGGCAGTTTTTACTTTTCTACCAAACATAATTTCTGCTGGGGACATTTGATTTGGTGTTGATGGGTTTGGAGTTGTTCTATAGACCAAGAGAAAATCATCAAGAATCTCCTCTATCTTTCCCTCCCCTTTTGCCTTCAGTAGCGCTCTTTTGAAGGTATCTACAAACCTTTCGGCCTGACCATTCGATTGTGGATGGTACGG